TAACGGATTTTGACCTGCATCCATTCCAGGATAGCGTCTTCCTTCTCCCACAGTAACATTTTGATCACTGGGTGCCTCGGTGGGACTAGATTCTGAAGGTTCCTTGATAGCAGGAGATCTTATCAGGTTTCGACTAGGCAGTTTCATTGGCACCTCTGTCAAAGCTGTTTCAGGAAGACGGAACTCAAAGTTTCCGCCTTCTTCTTCATCCACACCAACAATTTGATTACCAGATGTGGAAGATATGCGATTGGATACTGAGCCACCCTCTAATATAGTGGAAGATGGCGATGATACCACACCTTCATGCTGTTCAGATCGCTGCTTCAGTTTTGTAGTGCCGGAATATTCAAATTGGCTTCTAGGAGAAGTTTGACCAACCTCCAACTGATTTAGTGAAGGAGCTTCTTGTGGCAAAACTTTATCCCCTTTTGTGTTATCATCACTGCTTCCGTCATGCTCACGTCCAGAAAACCATGTTGCACTGCTAACTGACTCGTTGGGTGAACTCTTTTCAGCGGGCTTTGCACTCGAGTCAGGGCTTCCAGCTCGGGAGCCCCACCTAAGCCGAGCAATATCAGCTATAACATTCCACAAGGACCTACCATTTCTTTTGAAAACAACATTCCCCTCTGCTGCATTGCCTTCTGTGGCTCCTGAATGAGGAGTTCCCTGAGCAGAATCCGTTACCCACATTTCATCTGAAGGTCCCTTTGCTCCTGAACCACCAGATGATCGCCTTGAGTCCCGCCTCTTCAATTGATTGCTTTCAGCTCTTTGCTCCTCAGTCTCTGGATTTATAACTTCATGTGTGGCCCTTTTCAAAAACTCCCCAACGTATTTCTCTGATGACTGTTCCAACCGATGAGCAGAACCCATAGCATCTTCATGTGATGTAAATCCCATCAGTTGTCCAGCAGACTGACTATTAACAGAAGAAGCTCCTGCTCTTGGATGTTCAAAGGCTGTGGGATTACCAATTTCTGAAGTTCCATGGGAAATCTCTTGAATGGAAACTCCACCAGTTCCATAGCTTTGTCCTGATCTTCTGCTTACCAGCTGAGAAGAAGGAGGAATCAGTGTTGTTTCAGATCCTTGCATTTCCTCGGAAACCAGATCTACCAGTTGTAATTTGTTTCGCGAGACCATCAAAGATGATTGTGAACTTGAGGCCTCTTCAGATAGCTTTGACTGATAACTTTGCAACCCTAAGGTCGTTTGATCTTCTTGTTTCGAGTTAGCCTGATCTAGCCTAGAGCCTTCTTTCCAAGCACCACTTTTTTCTACTTTGCTGTCCGATTGCACAATCGTAGTACTTCCTTGACCAATCAGCCTCTTCTCAGATTTTCTCTGAATTTCAGTATACCTTACTGCATCACTGGTATGAGATACAGACACAGAAGTTCTGTCAGATTGCGTCTTTTGCAAGGGATTATGTTCAATATGATAATCTTGCTGCTTCCTTTCAGATTGCAAACCAGAAACCAAGCCAGCATGTATTTCTTGGTTACTAATCTGGTCTTCGCTTTGTGAGACATATGTATTTCTGATGTCTATGTCATGAATTTCTGAACTTTCAGAATAGTGTTCAGTAGTCCTTCTCCTACCAGCTTGCTTAGATATCCTTTCTTCCACTAGATGTTGCTGATTATTTGTCACCTCTGGAAAATTTTGGAGCACATTTATACCTTCCTCCTGGCTACTGCTATATTTGGTTCTTCTTCGCAATCCAGATACTCTATCCTCACTGCTATAACGAGTCTCCGATCTTTCCTTCAATTGCTCCTGAGAACTCTCAATGTTATCGTTTCCAGAATCATTACGAATTGAGTGGACTCTATAGTCCTCCCTTTCACCAATGAGCTTTTGATTTTGAGAACTAGTCTCTGCATTGTTGACATGGATCTCATGAATTTCCATATCTTCTTCATAGTTTCCCGTCGATTCAGACACTCTATTACCAGTTTGACTAAACTTCTTTCTTCTTCTCTGGTTCAAAGTCACTGCCTGATTTGAATTTTCCCCTTCCTCAAAAACCTGCTTCTGATACCTTGAATCCACTCCATTAGAGCTCTCATCTCTTTTTTTCCTCAAATGCATCAGAGAGGCTTCCTTTCTAGATTTCAATCCTTTGGCTGACTGGTCAACAATTTTCTTCTTTGATCTTCTCACTTTTTCACGACTAATTTCCACATCCTCCTCCTGATTTTCAGTATCACTCTCAAACTCCCTTGAAGAAGCAAGGGAATAATACGACGAACAACTCAAACTCTTTGTTCTTCTAGGCCGAACTTCTCTTTCTTCAATATACTCACCAGTAACCAATTTAGAACCACGCCGAGATTCACTTTCCAGCTGAGAACGTTTCTTTATCCTCCCACAATGTTCACAATCATATCTTTCCTGTAACTTCACATCTCCTTAATCACATTCGATC